ACTCCCCTGCTTGTGTTCCCTCTCTCGTTGTCTGTCTCTCTGTCAGATAATAAAATCTTAAAAAAAAGAAAAAAAGAAAAAAATTACATTAAATGTTAATGAACTAAACACTACAAATAAAAGGCAAAGATTGTCACAATAGATAAAGCAAGATGCAACTTTATTATTTTAAAGATTTATTTATTTATTTCAGAGAGAGAGAGTGTGCGGGGTGGGGGCATGGAGAGGGGCAGAGGGAGAGAGAATCTCAAGCAGACTCTGCACTGAGTACAGAACCCGATGCGGGGCTGGATCCCACAACCCTGAGCTGAAACCAAGAGTCAGATGCTCAATCAACTGTGCCACCCAGGCTCCCCAAAATTCAACTATATTTTGTTTATAAGAGACAGTCTTTAAAATACAAAGGGATTGAAAAATATGTCTTGTATAAATAAGTCTGTAGTGGCTATATTAATATCAGATAAAGCAGATTTCAAGATAAAAAGTCTTACTAGAAGATAAAGCAATCTTGAAAAAGAGGAATCAAGTTAGAGGATTTATATTTCCTTCAAAACTTACTATAAAGTACAGTAGTCAAGATAGTGTGGTCCTGGCATAAAGACTGACAAATAGATCAATGGAGCAGAATAAAGAACCCAGAAGTAGACCTCACCTATACAATCATTTGATTTTTTACAAAGGAGCCAAGTAATCCAGTGGGGAAAGGAAAGTCTTCAACAAAAGGTACTTGAAACTAGATATCCATGTGGAAAAAAATGAACCTCCTACTCACACCATATACAAATATTTTTTCAGGATGGGCCTTAGACCTTATATATAAGACCATAAAGCTTTTATTAAAAAATATGGTAGAGTAGGAGCACCTGGGTGGCTCAGGCAGTTGAGCACCTGACTCTTGGTTTCGGCTCAGGTCATGATCTCAGGGTCGTGGGATCGAGCCCTGAGTCTGGCTCTGTGCTCTGCATGGAGTCTGCTTCTCTTCCTCTCTCTCTGCTCCTGCCCCAATTCACGCACACTCTCTTGCTCTCTTTCTCTATCTCAGATAAATAAATAAAATACTTAAAAGAAGAAGAAGAAAACACCTTGTGCAATATTTTAAAAAGTATGGTAGAGTGTGTTTGTGACTAAAGGGTAAGCAAAAGTTTCTGAGGACATGGAAAACAATTACCATTGGAGAAGAAAATTGCTAATTAAACTGTAATTGCAACTTTCATACATTGTTGATTAAGTGTAAAGTGTTACAAGCACTTTGGAAAAAGGCCTGGCAATTTCCTGTAAAACTATGCATGCATCTATCCATTACCCAAAAGAAACAAAAACATATTTCCACCAAAAAAAAACCCCACAAAAGAGGGCTCCTGGGTGGCTCAGTCAGTTAAGCCTCCAGCTCTTGATTTTGGCCCAGGTCATGATCTCAGGGTCCTGGTATCAAGCCCTGCATCAGGCTCCATGCTCAGCGGGGAGTCTGCTTGAGATTCTCTCTCTCCCTCTTCCTCTCCCCCTGCTCACATGCTCTCTATCCCTTTAAAATAAATAAATCTTAAAAAAAAAAAAAGGAAAGCTCATATAACAGTTTTATTCATAATAGACAAAAATTCAAACACCCCGAGCACATACATCAGTAGGAGATGAATAAACTGTGGTGTATTCCTACAATGGAATTCTCAGGAATAAAAAGGAATGAGCTCTTGTTAAATGCAACAGCATGGATGAATCTCAAAACATAATGCTGAGTAAAAGAAGCCTCGCACAAGAGTACATACTATATGATTCCATTTATATGAATAGTGGAATCATATAAATGGAATTATATGCTATGTGCTAATTTGGGGGGGAAAGTTGTGGTAGAAAAATCAGAACAGTGGTTGCCTCTAGGGGTGGGTGGTGCCAGGTGTTGACTGAGAAGAGGTACAAGAAAAAATTCTGAAGTAATAGAAGTGTTTTGCTTCTTATTTTTTTTTTAAGATTTTATTTATTTATTTTGACAAAGAGAGACAGAGAGAGAGAGAGAACACAAGCAGGGGGAGTGGGAGAGGGAGAAGCAGGCTTCCTGCGGAGCAAGGAGCCCGATGTGGGGCTCGATCCCAGGACCCTGGGACCATGACCCCAGCCGAAGGCAGACGCCTAACAACTGAGACACCTAGGTGCCCCAGAAATGTTTTGCTTCTTGATAGAAGTTTTATATTTACACAGATACATACATTTTCAAAGCTCTTTGAAGCTTTGAAGCACTTAAGATTTATGCATTTCATTGTATATAAATTTTACTGTAAGAGGAAAAAACTGTAATGCTGAATTCTAATTAATTATATACATTTAGTGGCAAGTGTACTGATGTCTGTAACCTACTTTATTTTTTTATTTTTTTTTAAAGATTTTATTTATTTATTTTAGAGACAGAGCACAAGAGGGGGGAGCGGGAGAGGGAGAAGCAGACTCCCTGCTGAGCAGGGAGCCTGATGCGGGACTCGATCCCGGGACTCCAGGATCATGACCTGAGCCGAAAGGCAGTTGCTTAACCAACTGAGCCACCCAGGCGCCCCTGTAACCTACTTTAAAATGCATCAAAAAATAAGATGGATTGATGGAAAGGCAGATAGATAAATTAATATGTGATTAAAATATTAGTGGTAGAATACATATGGTGAATATACAGATTCACTATACCGTCTTTCAACCTTTTTTATGTTTGAAATTTTTTATAGTAGAGTGAGAACAAGAAAATTGTAAACTTAAAATTCAAGGTAGTAGTCACATCCTGGGAGAAGGATAAGAATGGGAGATAGGTAATAAGCACACAGATGCAAAGGTATCAGTACTAGTCTGGCTTGTTTACGTTTGTTTTTTTTTTTAAAGATTTTATTTATTTATTTTAGAGAAAGAATGTGAGTAGGGTGAGGTGCAGAGGGGGAAGGAGTAGGAGGGGGAAAGGATCTCAAGCAGACTCTATGCTGAGCACGGAGCCCAACATGGGGCTCCATCTCACAACCCTGAGATCATGACAGACACTCAACCAACTGAGCCACCCGGGTGCCTGAGTACTAGTCTAGCTCTTCAGTGTTCACAGATACTCATTGTATTATTGCACCTCGTAACTTACATATATCTTAAAAATACCCTTTATATAGTTTTCATACAATTAAAAAAATACGATAAGAATACATCAGAACTTGAGCTCTATTAACCAATAATAACAATAATGAAGCACTATTTGTTAAACGACATTCCAGGAAATCATTTCTCTATATTATAGTTCTCTTGGGCCTCAAAATCTAACATTTACATTTGCATATCTGAATCTTTTCATTTTCTTTCTTGCGAACTTCCCAGGTTCTATTGACTCTAGAGACAATCAGTTCTTTTCCTTCTAACACCCTTCTTTTCAATCCCTAAAGGGAATACTTCTGAACCCAAAACCTCCCCTACAGACACATAGTTTAGCACACTATGACATTTAACCTGTCTTCTCTCTGTGCGTAGAATCTTTACTTCTTTCTTCCCTTTGTGGAAAATAATAGGCATGCCTCAAATCAATAACGAAAATAAAATGAGAATAAAAGTTGTAGAGTTTTAAGTAATAGTAGCTGACCAGGAATGGAGACAGAATGATAAAGAGGTGAATGGGTTTGGTTCCATAAACTCGAAAATGTAGGTGGCTCAGTGACAGACAGTACACATAGTGTTTGAAATTATTTTTGTCCTCCAGTTTTTATGTTTGCCAAATAGAGCAAAAGTGACCAAAAAGCAAATATAAAATGTCAGGGAACAAACTTAAGGAAAAACTTAATACCTTAGTATTATTAATTCTCACATCTTTTCTCACTTTTCCTTTATGTCAATATTCTTGTGTACATGAAAATCTGTGTAATAACTTATAAGACCTAACCTAGGCCAGGGAGGAGTAAATGATATGCTTTTTCAATGTGTTGGAAGGCAGCATTTTATCAGTTTTAATTCTAGCTTCACCATATGAGTTTCCTTGGACAACTTACTTAGTTCCTCTTTGTGAATTTCAGTTTCTTCATCTGGAAAATCCGTATTTCACTGAATCTAAATTGCCATGTTATAACACCTTCAATTATTTTATGTGCCACTAAGAAAAAATAAATATTGCTATTAACTATGATTCAATGCTTTTTTATTGATTGAAAATATTTATCCTAAGTTGTGTGTGTGTGTGTGTTAGAATCAGTGAGAAATATAGTACCATCAGCCTTCTGAATTATTTTTTAAGATTTTATTTATTTATTTATTTATTTATTCATTCATTCATTCATTCATTCATTCATTCCTTGCAAGCAGGGGCAGGGGCAGAGGGAGGAGAGAATCCCAAGCAGACTGCACTGAGCATGCAGCCCAATGCTGGGCTTGATCTCACGACCCCAAAATCATCACCCAAGTGGAAACCAAGAGTCAGATGCTTGACCAACTGAGCCACCCAGGCACCCCTCAACCTTCTGAATTTATAATTAATAAGAAGGACAATGTACTTAAAGTATTGAGCAAGGAGCCTGGCACATTATAAATAATAACTAGTAGCCTTTATGTTGAGGGTGATACTGTTCGTGATTTGATCATGAGCACTTTGTGAAGTAGCTCATTGTTTAGGTTGTTCTTTGGGGATCAGAATTATTAATAGAACATCTTAATGAGATTTGTTGGTGGCAATCAGAATGCCCACTCATTTTGAATCTGAAATAGCATAACAGTGGCATAACATCTTTAGTTGGTTTTCAGAGGTAATTCTTTTAACTATTAGCATTTTGTTATCAATGAAATTTGTGGGCTATTGTTGAAGTTTCCTCCAGAAATAAATTCTACTGATACATATCAACCTTCTGTGTTGGTTGAAGTTGCTATTTATGGAGAGAATTTGTTCAAGTGCACAAGATGAGTGAGATATGCCTATATGTAAAGCTTAGTAAAATTGCATTGTTGATATTATGATATATGACCTCAGGTTTTAAACTATTTTTTTTATCATTTTCCTGTCTATGCAGGAGGCAGACAGTGGGGAGGAGGAATGCCGGTCACAGCCCCGGAGGTATGTTTGTTCGTTATATTCTACAGCATTTCTGTCATTAATGTTTTTTCTCTAATTCTTTCTTAGTCTTGTCAGATTAGTTTATCATGGTTTTCCAAGAAGCTTAATTGGTCTCTCAAAATGGGATTGCTTTAAGAATCCAGTTACTGACTCAGAGATTTAAAATGGTAGATTGCATTATGTTGTACACGTGAAACTAATACAGTGTTGTATGTCAGTTATACATACATACATACATACATAAAATGGTAGATTGCTTTAAGAAAGTGCAGGTATGCCAATATTGGTCCAATTTTTATTCAAGTCTGAAGAACTATCTTGAATAATAAAAAAGTAAATTTTCATTACCTTTTAGGAAAATATCAACTGAACATTTCAGCCTTCAGTTTTGTACTTCGGTTTGTCATTCATTTTGATGGATATTTAAATTCTTATAGATTGGTCAATATTTCGCTTCTAAATACAAAGGATATACTGAGTAACTTACCCAATCCTTCAAATACAATGAATACTCACAGAGTAATGGGCATATTGTTAAAAGGGTACCAGTGCCTGCTGCCATTAAAAGAAAAATATTACGAGAGATATTTAGGAATTATATAAATATTTTTGTTATCTCCTATAAGTGGTTTTATAAATCAACTTTTCCCCCCAAGAAACAGTTCTGGTAAGTTCAAGATGGTCATTTAAATGCTACCAAATTTGTATCCTTTGAACTCAATCACATGAGCCGTTCTGTATGATACAGAGGAAGTGTACAATAAGCATGCTCAATGTAGAGAACCTGGCCAAAGGGAATGCTTCCTTAATGATGAATTATCAAGTGTTTGTTGCTGTATACCACTCTTGTAAACTGCAAGTTTATATAAAAAGAGTTCCTTTCCATCAGTAACTGAAGCTTATTGACAGTAAATTTCCTGTCTTGGTTAGCATGAAAAATTTGGCTTGCAGCTTAATTTCTCACTATCACTTGGGGAAGATCTGACAGTGAAGTGTCATTCTTTCACATAGGGCTAAGAGATAGAAACCCAGAAAAAATTTTAGCTGACTTATTACCAGAGGCATCATAACCTTATTCCCATTAGAGTGAAAAAAGGATTCCAAAAGATTCTGAAACTAGGCCAAATGTAAAGATCATTGGGTTAATTTCAAGCTTTACATATTGACTTGGCATCTACTGGGAGATAATTGTTGTTCCAAAAATTACATAATGATGAGGCAGTGCAAGTTTACTCTCATTCACAGTCCTGAATTGTCAAGCCATTAAGAACCTTTATAAAGACCACTGTTTTTAAAGTTGTTGGCAATATATCATTAATATGACTAGCAGAGGGTTTTTGTAGGCTTCTTCTTTTTACAAGAAAAGGATCATTTATACAAAGAAGGAATGAAGAAAAACCTGGTAGCACCCATTTTTTTTTTAAGATTTTTATTTATTTATTTGTCAGAGAGAGAGAGAGAGAGCACAAGCGGGGGGAGCAGCAGAGGGAGAGGGAGAAGCAGGCTCCTCACTGAGCAAGGAGCCCGATGTGGGACTCAATCCCAGGACCCTGGGATCATGACCTGAGCCAAAGGCAGACACTTAATGACTGAGCCATCCAGGCGTCCCTGGTAGCACCCATTTTTAAAAATCAAAATTTACTTGCCTGTTGTAATTTCTTACATTCAGTATGTTTCCCAGGCTATTTCTAAATCTAATTGCTTTAGTCTGACTCAAAACAAAGAAACTTCTCTTAAGTGCCAATTGAATGCCCTTTGTAAAAGCTAGATATGGTATGTAAGAGGTTGATTTTTTGTGTGCTTGACTACTACAGATTATTTTGGCATTCCCTAGCACTTACCAGAGAATAAACCAGCACTGAATTAGCATCATTTCACTGAGCATGCCTGAACTCATCTTTTCAGTTTGTGGGTTCAGTTGTGGTTTATAGTAGAGAATTGAATAGTAAACAGCATATTATTAAACCTAATGCCAATTCCACATAATAAAAAAGATGTTTCATAAATTATCTCTTATTTTAACCAAATGCCATTTATTGGGAAAGTCTTAAGTTAAAAGTAATCATTTAATATAATTAGCTCAAACTATGAAGTCTTTAAAAACCAATGTTCACAGGCAACAACAAAAATAGATAAATTAGTCTACATCAAAATTTTTGCGAATAATATAGCTGATAAGGGGTCAATGTCCAGAATATATAAAGAACTCTTACAACTCAAGCACAATGGAAAAAGAACAATCTGTCTTATTCAGCTCAGGCTCCTATAACAAAATACCATAGACTGAGTGGCTTAAACGACAGGAATTTATTTCTTACAATTCTGGAGGCAGGGAAATCCAAGCTCAACATGCTGGCAGATTTGGTTCCTGGTGAGAGCTTTCTTCCTGGATTTCAGACAGCTGTGTTCTTACTGTGTCCTCATATGGCTGTGTGAAAGAGGATGCTCTGGTCTCTTCCTCATATGTAGACATGAATCCTGTCATGGGAACCCTGTAACATCATCATGGCATCATCTAACCCTAATTTCCTCCCAAAGGCTCCCATCTGTAAATACCATCACATTAGGGGTTAGGGCTTCAACATATGGATTGGGGAGTGGGACACAAATATTCAGTTCATAACATTCCACCCTACCTCCCCAATTCATATCCTTCTCACATAAAAAATATATTCATTCCATCCCAGTAGTCCCAAAAGTCTTAACTCATTTTAGCATCTACTCCGAAGTGTGAAGTCCAAAGTCTCATCTAAATATCTCATCTAAATCATGGGGCGCCTGGGTAGCTCAGTCGATTAAGCATCTGCCTTCGGCTCTGGTCATGATCTCAGGGTCCTGGGATCGAGCCCCATATTAGACTCCCTGTTCAGCGGGGAGCCTGCTTCTTCCCCTCCCTCTGTCTACCATTCCCCCTGCTTGTGCTCTCTCTCTGTCAAATAAATAAAATCTTTAAAAAAATGTATCTCATCTAAATCAGATATGGGTGAGATTAGAGGCAGAATTTCTCTCCAGCTATGAACCTCTGAAACCAGGTAAGTTATGCACTTCAAGACATGGTGGTAAGAGAAGCTTAGGAAAACATTCCCATTCCAAAAAGGAAAGTAGGAGAGAAAGAAGAGGTGACAGGCCCCAAGTTAATCCAAAACTTAGCAAGGCAAATTCCATTAGATCTTAAGGCTCAATAATAATGCTCTTTGGTTTCGATACTCTTCACCGGGGACCCACTGGGGCAGTTGTCCTGCCTTCAAGACTCACTGGAGTTGGTGGTGTCATCTCCACGGCTCAGCAGGGCAGCCCTGCACCCTTGGCTCCCTTGAAGTGCCACCCATCTGGCATTCTGCCAGGACCCATCTACCTGGCACTCTGCTGGGCAGCAGGACCAATGCAAAGGCAGCCTTGCCCCTCAGCCCTTGCACTCCAGGTCTGCAGTTAGAGTAGCAGTCCTGATGATCTCTGAATCGCCTTTGGGGTCCTTCTTCCCTTTTCTTGAAGGATAATGTATGTTCACAGCCTTCCTTCATTCTCTCTTGTTTTCTTTGCTTCCTTTAGTCCCAGCTGGTAGTGTTTCTGCTGGTATAAATCCCATCTCTATTCCTAGCTTCTGAGGAGATGGCTGTGGAGAGGTCCATGGTTCACACCCACTTTCATCATCACACCCTTGGGGCTTTCTTCTGAACATGCTCTCTCATTTTTTACAATATAGACAGAGAATTTTCCACATCTCTAAGTTCTGTTTCATTTTGCTTAACTACTTCTTCAATTCATTTCTCTCTTCTCATATTTTACTATTTACAGTTGGAAGGAAGGAAGCTGTTCCTTCAGTGCTTTGCTTAAAAATCTCCTGAGCTAAATATCTAATTTCCTCACTTACAAGTTATACTTTTCACAAGACACTAGAACATGAACATAATTCAGCTAAGTTCTTTCCTACTTTATAACAAGTATTGCCTTTTCTCCATTATCCAATAACATGTTCCTTATTTCCATCTGAGACCTCATCAGAATGGACTTTACTGCCCATATTTCTACCAACATTCTGTTCATGATTATGATGTATTCTTTAAGAAGAGAGAGGGCTTTTTCTCCAGCCCTCCTCTTTTCTTTCTGAGCTCTCACCAGAATTGCCATTAACACTGCCTTCATGACAATCTTACCTTTTTCAAGCATGCACCTCAGAATTCTTCCAGCCTCTAGCCACTTCCAGAATCCAAAGCCACTTCCACATTTTTAGGTATTCAATATAGCAGCACCTCACTTCTCTGTACCAAAATCTATATTTGAGTTTTCCAGAGAAAATAGGAAATATAGAGATAGATTTAGTGTAAGGAATTGGTTCACACAATTATGGAAGCTGGGAAGTCCCCAAGATCTGCAAGTTGGAGACCCTCGAGAGCTGATGGTCTAACTCCAGTTTGAGCCTGAGTCTGATGAGGAAAAGACTGATGTCATAGCTCAAAGACCTGCAGAGGGAGCAAATTCTTCCTTGCTCAGCCTTTTGTTCTATTCAGACCTTCACTGGAATGGTGAAGCCTACCCACATTGGGAAGGGCCATCTGTTTGACTCAGTCTACTGATTCAAATGTTAATCTCATCCAGAAACACCCTCAGAGACACCCCCAGAATAATGTTTAACCAAATTTCTGGGCCCAGAAGTTTGTGGCCCAGTCAAGTTGATACATAAAATTAACCTTTGAACAACTCAATTAAAAAATGGGTAAAGAACATTTCTCCGAAGAAGATATACAAATGACCAATAAGTACATGAAAGATGTTCAGTATCACTAATCATTAGGGAAATGCAGATCAAAACTACAATGAGATATATCACCACACTCATCAGGATGGCTACTACCCAAAAAACAGAAAATAGCAAGTATTGGTGAGGATGTGAAGAAATTGAAACCCTTGTGCACTGTTAGTGAGAATGTAAAAGGGTACAGTATTGTCCTCAAAAAACTAAAAATATAATTACCGTATGATCTAGCAATTCCACTTCCGGT